TTTAATGGAAGGACTAAATCGGGGTAAAAATGATAAACAGTAGAAACCAAATTAGGGATTTTTTTAGTTCAGGGACCAAATCGGGGGTCCGTACAATAGTTTAGGGGACCAAAAAGGGGTTTTAACAAAAAAAAAAGGAATAAAAAAGAAACTTTCATAGGGGTATGAAAGGGCTTTAGGCATTAAGAAAAAAACAAAAAAAAAAAAAAAGGAAAAGTGCAGAAAAAGAAAATATAAAAGCCCAGAACAGAAGCAAGGAGAGAAGAAGATGATGATGTACTGCACTTGTTTAATTTTTCGGAGGTGATTTTTTTTTTTGGTGGCTATTATTGATAAAAAAAAATTGAAACAAAAAGAAATAAAATATAAAAAAACAGAAACGGGAAAAGGGACAACGATGGGGTTTTTGAAGCTTTTTTTATTATTTTATTTCTTGTTTTTTTTGTTTTATGTTCTTGGTAATTATTATTATTTTCATAAAAATTAAAATTCCCCAAAATTAAAGTATGTGGTAACCATATTTATATGGAAGTTGTGGGGTGCCTAATATCTTCCCCATGCTTAACCAACCCTCCGAACCTAATCAATTTCTATGTAGACCTTGGTGATCTATTCCACCTCATTTGGATAGATGGCGACTCCAACCATTTTGGCATGTCAACAGTTTGGCGACTCCACTGGGGACATTGAAGGGTCAAGCCATTTATACTTTAATTTTGAGGTTTTTCAATTATTAACTTTTGTTTTGTAGGTGGCATGGAGTGCCTTGTAAGTTCTTTTTATTTTGTTATTTTATTTAATATTTTGTTATTTTCATATGTTGACTTTATGTGTATACTCCCTCACACACCTCACTTGCATATCATTTTGTCCTTGATGAGGTGAACCCGACCTCTAAATAGATGGATAACTCATGGAGCAATGAAAAGCGCAATGCTTTCATTGTGAAGTGAGATTTATCTCTTTTAGGTTCATTTTGTGGGTTAATATGGCTTGACAGCCATAATGCTGCTGCTGTATTAGGTCATGAAATGCCTCTTGTTAACTCTATAGAAGTTGGCAATTGTTGACTTTATGGAAGTCAATAATTGTTGACTTATGGAAGTTAGCAGTTGAAAAAGCCTAATCATATAGGATCCACTAGGAAACCGCATGTAATGGACTTAAACAAAACTTAACCCTAGGGTGGCCAACCTAGTAAACCACCTTCAAAGTCTAAGAACCTTATATATAGGACACATTGGGAGTATTTTATTTTTAAACAATGTTTTTGTGTTTCTTAGGTGAGGAATTCGACTAAGAGGTATGCCATTTATTAACTCTTCTTTTTCTTTTTCTTTTTTAATAAATAGATAATTGATTATTTTACACATGGATTCTTTGGGGAAAAAAAAAACAGTAAGGGAAAAAGGATGAATTTAGAGTTAGAATGTCTGTCATTATCCAAGAAAAACAAGTTACATAAGGATTGATTCTCTATGCAGACAAAAAGACCTTGTGTAAAAGACTTGGTTGCTACTTGGAATAGCTTGAGTAATCTTGACAAAGTGAATTTTACTAGTTGAGAAAAAGCAAGTTCCTCAATAAAAAGAAGAAAAGATATGAGGGAGGCAATCTCCTCATTATTTTTCTTTTACCTAAAAAGAAAAAAAAAATTCTAAAAGATCATGAAGGGGGCAATCTCCTCATGTTTCTGGTTAGCATGACAATTGCTTGGCTCTAATTTCTCATTTACTTTACATACAAATGGTTGAAGTTGTTCTTGACAATGAAGAATCCATGTGTAAAAATAAATAATTAGAAGTTAGGTTTACTCATTAATGGAAACATTGGGAACTTATCTTTCAAAATGCTAATTAGATAAATTCATGATTTGTTAATAATGCTTATATTTCTTCAGGTGTTGAAAGATTGGTCCTAAAAAGAATTATCCAAGAGTTCGTTCACCTATTCTCACTAGAGCTCTTGCAAGGAAGATGGTTGACGAAGCTAATTTAGAAAAGGTAGCTCTGGAAAATCGTGTGGAAAATATGGAAAATACTTTGAAGGAATTGATGGCTTCTTTCTTCTTTCCAATCTCTTCAAGCAACCTTAGTCACAAGGGCACCTTTGACAACAAATCCTTTATTTGAAGGAAAGGTTCCGGTGGCAAATCTCCTTGTGGCCACATCTGTTTTAACTCTTGGGAAGGAGCCTATGTCATCTTGCCCTCTTGATCCAACTATTGGGGGAACTTTTGGGACAAAACCATTTGTTCTAAATGCTGGTGTTGCTACAGTTCAGTCTAATGATCAAGAAGAGACTCAAGTTGTCAAGTCAATTACAGAGGGTGAAGACAAGGTAATTAAAGCGAAGGTGCAGCTGATGGAGGAAACACTAAAATTGATGCAAGGTGTCCAAACCAATAAACCGGTTGACATCTCATCTTTGTGCTTTTTCCCAAACATTCAACTGCCCTATAAGTTTAAATTGCCTGAGTTTGATAAGTACAATGGCACTGGTTGTCCTTATGCCCACTTGACGATGTATTGTAGGAAGATGGCTCCTTATGCTAATGATGAGAAGCTAATGATACATTACTTTCAGGACAGTCTGACAGGTCCTGCAGATGCTTGGTTCTCTACTTTAGACAAAAGTAAAGTCAAAAGTTGGTATGATTTGACTTACAATTTTATGAAGCAGTATGAATACAATACATCACTAGCTCCTAGTAGAGAAGATCTTCAAAGAACAGAGAAGAAATCGAGTGAGAGCTTTAAGGAATTTGCTCAAAGATGGTGTGGATTGGCTGCTCGGGTTCAACCTCCACTGACAGATCATGAATTAAGTAATTTATTCATCAAGTCAACCAAAGGGTCTTATCGTGAGAAGTTAATAACTTGTGTGAATTACACTTTCACTCAATTGGTTATCGTGGGAGAGGAAGTGGAAGATGGAATCAAGTCAAGGATTATTATTGATTATCAAGCAATGAAGAGTATCCTTGAACAATACCAAAATGATAGTTTAGGGGTTTCTAGTTCAAAGAAAGTGGGCCAAAATCAAAAGAAGGAGAATGAGAATAGCACTATAAGTTTAGTTTATGAGGCGTATAATCAGTCACGGGGGCAGTTCAACAATCGGTTCCAAGCTCCAACTTATCAATCAACGGCTTTCACAAGTCAATCAAGGCCCATTTATGCCTCTGGGTCAAGGCCCATTTATGCCTCTGGGACAAGTCGTCCACAACAAGAGAAAAAGAGACGTTATTTTGATAAACTGCCAACGTCATATACTGAAGTGTTTCGACAGTTGATAACAGCTAGGCTTGTTACCCCTGTACCTATGGTGCCATTAAATCCACCATTTCCAATATGGTATAACCCACAAGCAAGATGTGAATACCATAGTGGAGGTGTTGGGCATGACCTTGAAAATTGTCTTGCTTTGAAGCACCGTGTTCAAGATCTAATAGATGCAAAGGAGTTACAAATTACATCAGAACCTGAGGTTGTTGGTCCAAATGTCACTAAAAACCCTTTACCCACACATGATGGTCCAACAGTTAATATGATCAAGAAAGACTCCGATAAAGGTCATGAGGTGACTACATCAGCAAATAATGATGATTTGAGCACTTTTTTTGAGAAGTTGAGCATATGTGTCATTGATGAAGCAAAGGGTGATGACAAGCTTATTCTGCCTACTCATGGTGAAGCTTTGAACAACAAGACAGTAGAGATTCTTCCTGTTCCTATCATTAAATCGTAAGATGTGTCAATCTTCTTGTGGTTGAGCTTGTGACCATGAGAAGAGATGGTTAAAACAAGTCTTTTATATTTTATGAAGCATTGTAGGCATGACAAATAATGTTCCATTCAGTTCATTTCAATCAATGATGTTACTTTCATTTTCATTCCCTCTCTTCATATGCAAGATTGTTCATTTTCTTTTATTTAAATTTCTCATGCTAGCCAAAATTTCCATCTCCAGGTTTGCTGATAATAAATCCACAAATAGTGATATCATTCTTGAACTTAGACATAGTTTTGATGAACTGATTTATTCTATGGAAGATGATGAAGAATTAGAACCTTTTCTTGAATTGACTGACATGTTGAGAGAAGAAGAACCTAAATTCCAGCCTAATCAAAATGGCTACAACATAAAATGGGGAGGTCAGGCCTCGAAGGTTTCAAGAAACAGATGTTGTTGTGAAGGAAAAGATGAAGGTTTGAAGAAAATTTTGCCTAATGAGAAGGATCCAAGGGGAAATTTTGCTCCAAATTACAACAGTCTTTACATCGTGAAGGCAACTTTTTCAAGAACAGCTTTATTATTAGTTTATCTTGATGCAGATGATCTCCCACATC